CACCTCAGTCCTGAGCTGCTGAGATCCCACACCAGAGATCCCAAATATTGCTGACAAATCTCACCTGCAACTTCCCCCACAGCCGACACTTGAAGCAGCCAACACAATCCATGATCTTGGAAATGTTCTTAAAATGCAGCCTAAATTCCTCCTGGGGGAAAAGACATCCATGGTCAGGCATTCATTAGGGCTCCTTCCAGGTTTTAATCTGAATTAATCCTGGAATTCAGTGGGACTGAGGTAGGAAAAGCCTCCTGCAGTGGGGCCCTTGGCAGAAATTACCTTTAGTTTGGCAGCTTCCTTTTTATTCCCTGCAAAGAAGGAGTTTTCATCGAAATGCAGTGGGAAGGACCTGGAAGGGAATGGTGAGAGTTGGATTTCTGCCCTCCTTGGATGTATGGCTGCAGTCAGGGGTGGGATAAACACAGCTGGGAGCCACTGGACATCTCCAGAGGGGTTTGAATCTGATATCCACTCCCAAGGAATGGAATGAGAGGATTTAAGGTCCCTTCCAACCCAAACCACCCTGGGATTTTATTTTCTCCTCAAATTTGTATTGATGTCATTCTAATTTGTATTTTCTCTTCCAATCTGAGCTGGCATCTCATCTTGGAGACTTTTTCAGCAACTGCTTAATGGTTTTTAAGCAGTTTCAGTGCTGACAGACAGAAGCACAGGAGGGTGATGAGATAAATCAAACATTGACCACTTTAGGAGACACCCATTTCTGTCTGGTTCCAGTATCTTCCATTCCTTTTACTCCAAACTCCATCCACCAGCCCAAACCTCTGTTACCAAGATATTTAGGATGTTTTTTTGTTGCAAACACAAAGCCAGGCCTGGTATCCCACAGCTGACTCACACAGGTAGCCAATTTTAGGGCTAACACGCAGGCAGTTATTAAATTCCATTCTGCTAAATCCAAAAGGCAGCCAAGGCTATTAAACCACGGGACTAATTAAACCGTGGGACTAATTACCCAAATTCTGTAATTTGGCATACAGATATTAATAATGTGTTCCCAGCAAAACTACACCACTGGTTCCACGTCCCTGCTCATGGCAAGGGGGCTGGGCTAGATGGAAAAAAAAAAGCTTTAAAAAGCTCTTTCCCAACGCAAACCATTCCATGTTTCTGTGATCCTACTGCACAAATGGCTGCAGGAAGAAGCCAGAAGTGCCTTCCTAGGAGCTTGACATGTCAGGTTAAGCACCCAGGGATGGTGGCAGAGCCACTGTCTGTTGGAGATTTTTTCAGAAATGGCTGTGAAGAGCAAATTCTCACAGCCTGTTTCTGTAAACAGCAGGAGTTCTCAGGTTGTTTTTAATTACAAGTAAATATCTTGTCCTTGGATAAGGTATGGGAAAGCAAAAGTGACAAACATGAGGGCCTTGAGAACCTTGCATACCAAGTTTGCTCATGGCAGGTGAATATTCTATCTTTGGCTGTTTTGGGAAAGTAAAAGTAAGTTTTGAGAACCCAAATCTTGGTGTTGAAAACAAAAGGAGGGGTTGGTGTGTTATCTCTGACCTATGGTGAGCTCGGGTTTGCAATGTGCATGAACTTAATTAACACGGTTATAAAAAGTGACTGATTGAGTGAATAAACGGAGTCAGATGCTGAACCAACAAATGGGGGTGGTCTCCCTTCACCTCAATAACTGTCCCCAGGCACTGAGTGCAATTACTTGGCCAGATGGAGAATTTCCAGCAGCAGGTGCTTCATCTCTGCATCCTGGCGCTCATTGCNAATGGCTGCTGGAAATGGACATGGAAATGGGGAAATGGCTGCTTGAGATGGATCAATGGCCTTGGGAAAGCCCAGCCAAGCATTTCCCAGTCCAGGTGAGGTTCTTGCTGGACTGACCATCATAAAACCAGGCTGGGAAGGGACAGCCTCGACCCACAGCTAGAAACTCACTCCAAAATAACCTTGGAGGAAGAAGAGAGGGAGTGTTTGCTGGCAGGGCTGGTACAGCCATCTCATTTACATCCATCTCTTCAGACACCAGGGACCCAGGGACAGCTCAGCCCTGCTCCCAACTCCCAACCCCTCCAAAACTCACCTTTTTTCCAGGACTGGAAGATCAGGCATTCTTTTTCCACAATGGATGCTAGAAAAACCCACTTCCAGGTGCCACAAAATTCTACACTTGGTCAAGAGCTACGAGATTCTTTCTGATCCAGCAGGAGAAGGAGCCCAGGGAACATTTGCTGCTCCTGGAGCTGGGATCAGTTCACTACTAACCCACTTAGTGAGACAAATGAATGACTCACCTCTGCCAGATGCCAAAGGTCTTTTTACATTCTGAGGCCTAGGAGGAGGGAAAAAAAATAATTTAAATAAGAGATGTAAATAAGTTACTGTCTCTTGTGTGCACAAACAGAGCAGAGCAGAGGTAGCTACTTCAAACAGCCTGAGGGGATCTAAAATCCTCTTCCATGCTTTAACTTTGCTCAGGAAGGGAAAGGACAGAGGGAAATGTGGATTTCTGTGGGGGGTTGGTGTTGCTTTCTCCTTTTTTTTTTAGAAAAAACAGAAAGGAAAAGTAAATTCTCTTCTTTTGGGGCAGCCACATGACTTGTCCCTGGTGTAACCCACCAGGAGGATGAGGATTCATTCCTGCCCCTCAATCAGCACCCTCAGGTTTGTGGAACTGGAGCCCAAAGCACCTACTTGAAGCAATTTTCCTCATAAATGCTGTTCCAGATTTTCCAGGCATCGGGGCCCTTGTAGCCAGTGTAACGCTCTGGGTTCAGGAGCAGATCCACGTACTCAGCATCAGGAGAGTGGATGTCTGTGGAGCACAGCTGCCTCAGGGACAACGATTTTCTCAGGGAAAACGACATTTCCCAAGGCTGACCCAGCCAACCCTGCCCCACCTTGCTGAACACAGCAAGGCCCAGAGCAGCAAGGAAGCTTTGTCAGAAATATTTGTGTGTTATTTTCAAAAACACTCAGGTCAGGGGGGTGGGAAGGAGCAGAAATGCTGTTGTGATGATATCTGACACTGGAATTGGGGCTGTTCAGCCTGGAGAACAGGAGGGTGTGTAGAGCCCTCACAGCAACATTCCAGGATCTGAAGAGGCTACAGGGAGTGGGAGAGGAGCTCTCACTCAGGATCTGTAGGGACAGGACACAGGGAATGGCTCCCACTGCCAGAGGGCAGGGATGGGTGGGATATTGGGATGGAATTCCTGGCTGGGAGGGTGGGCAGGCCCTGGCACAGGGTGCCCAGAGCAGCTGTGGCTGCCCCTGATCCCTGGCAGTGCCCAAGGCCAGGCTGGGCAGGGCACCCTGGGACAGTGGAAGGTGTCCCTGCCATGGCAGGGATGGAATAAGATGGGCTTGAAGGTTCCAACCCACACCATTCCATGAATGAAAGCTGTGCAGAAGTGCACAAATCCCATGCCAGCCCTGCCATCCCTGCAGGTGCCCATACCATCAGCCTCACAGAAGCTGTCCGAGGAGTCGTCGTGCTGTGCCCACTGCAGCACTGCCTGCCGTGTTTCCTTGCTGCAAAAAACGAGGGGAAAACTCTCAGAGAGGGCTCTGATCCCAAATTTCCTTCAGGACAAGGAAGGATTATGGCAAAAGAAGCCAAACCTCAAAGAATCATCCACAGCTCCGAGTCTCTTGGCTTCCTCACACTCCTCAGCGAGGCTGTTGGCTTCTTCTGAGTACTGGGTTGGAAAGCAAAGGGGTGGGGAGGGATGAGGGTTAAAAAAGAAATTATTTCCTGTTTCAATTTAGCCTGCAGTGCACTATTAACAGAGGTTAAACCCCAGAAAGCCTTTCATGGTTCAGCCTCACTGTGTTTGCACAGAATGGCCCAAAGGTTTGTGCAATGCTGATGAGTCTTGCAGCCCTGGCAGTGCCTTGGGAGCTTTGTGTGCTTTTGGTGACACCAACTCCTGGAGAGATGGCAGAACACCTGGCTCCCTCCAGCACAGCCACCTCACAGCCTCTGTGCTCTCCAGGCACTTGAAGGGAGTAAAATTTCAAGTCTAAAGAACATTCTGACATTTACTGAGCCATGCTCAAAGCCTGGGGGCAGATTGGGGTTCCTCATGACAAAAAAGACTTTGAGAGGGTCCAGGGAAGGGAATGGAGCTGNCCTGCAAAGAAAAGGGCAGTTAAAGACACAGAAAGCACTCACTGGATTGTGAGGTAGGAATCTAATCCCACTGAGAGTGGCCTCTAATCCCACCATTTCCCATCTCCTGCCCATCCCAGGAGGAGCAACCACGTTCAGAGCAAGGATTACCTTTGAGCCACTTGTAAAATGTGTGCCCTGGAAAGAAATGAAAACACATCAGTGAGGGAACAGCCCGAGCCTGATGCCCTGAATCCACCTCCAGGCTGGCCCCAGAGGAGCCTCTGCCCACTGCAGTTTGCAGAAATTGGGAAAGGAGCATTAAAAGGGCATGAAAAGGGTTTTCCTGCCCCCCTTGTGAGTGATGCTTCCCTAACACGGCCCAGCAGCAGCTCAAACAGCACGTGGGCTTTCCCCAGGGGGCTGGGGGGGCACAGCAGGGAAAAACAAGATCAGGGATTGCTTTCCTCTTCTGGCCACACTGGGGAGAGGGATGTTTTTATAAAACAAACAAAGCAACCAGCCAAAAAACCACAGAGTGCAACCGAGCGTGCAGAATGGCACAAGCCAGGGCTGCATTGTGCCTGCTCTGTGTGCAGGGAAGGGATCTGGAGATCAGGATTTGGGGAAAATGCTGTGGAGAAGGGAGAACTGCAGGGAACAGCCCTTCCCAGGGCCTCAGCGAGTTGGGCACCCCTCTCCTACAGCTCCAGATAATTTGGGATTGAGTCTGTTCAAAGCTTTCTCAGTCATAAGCACTGAAAAAAAACCCCAGGACAATTCCTGTCCCCAAAGGCTTCTCACACTTGAGTGATTGCCTTCAGACTGGACTTGTGCTGTTCAAAAGATGCTGGTGGACTTTGCAAACCCTTCACAGGAGGAAGGGCTGGGCCAGGGAGCTCACAGGGATCTCCCTTCACTCTGCTGAGCACGGACAGGACCCAGGGAAGGGCTGGGTTGGATATCAGGGAAAGGTTTCACTATTCCAGAGGGTGCTGGCACTGCCCAGGCTGCCCAGGGAATGGGCACAGCCCCAGAGCTCCAGGAGTGTTTGGACAGCACTGCCAGGGATGCCAGGGTGGGATTGTTGGGGGTCTGTGCAGGGACAGATGTGGACTCTGATCCTTTTGATCCCATTTAGGATTTCCTGTGATGCCATGTCTCCCATTCCTGGTTTGCCTGGTGAATGATTTTGCCAACCAGGTGCATGATCTGAGGCACAGCCCGTGACAGCAGGACAAGGACACCCCACTTGTTTCTGTTGGCAGTAAAAAACAAACAGTGCCACTCACCTCCATCATCTCCTGGGGGAAAACGCACAAGTGGTGGAGGGAGAGAGAGAAAAAGAGAATAAAAACATTACACACAACCAAAATTAAGCTCCAAAGTGCAATTACTGCTCTGCTCATCTGCTGTGACAGGAGAAGGATCCTCTCCAGGGAGGTTTGGGAATGTTCTGAACACAGAAACCCCAAGGGCAGCACTGAGGACACCGGATGAGAACAGTGCTGAGTAACCTGACCAGTGCAGGGGGGATCAATACTTGCAAAGGAAGTCCAGGCTGATATTTCCAGGGACATTGCACATCTCCTTCAGCAGGAGGAGAGCCACCCCTTCCCACCAGGGTCACAGGAGGGGGATGAGCAGCTCCATAGCTTAGGGGGAAATGAAAATGGAAATGGAAATGGAAGTGAAAATGGAAATGAAATGAAAATAACTGCTGGAAATGGCT